TTTACCGAGATTGTTCGTAGGAACGTGAGTCCCAGGACCAAATATCAAAGTATTTCGTTTACAACTGAATTCGCGACAATTAAATCTAATCCTAAGACAATAAAATTGCATCAACTGATTAACAATTATTTATTCAACAACGCGAACGAGGGAATTGGTATTTAAATAAAAATAGGAGAACGCTCTACAGAAGTTTTTTTTGAGAATTGCGGAAGGTAAATGGAATTTTTTGATAGTTAGTGAATTTTTGGGAATGTAGACTATGGATTTGGGTTTGAATTATTTAATTTTGTCGGGGTACTGTCTTACCACTCGATAGAATGAGTAGAGAACACCAAAAGTGGTTACTGGTGAGGGGTCTTGCTCAAGTACTGTTGTCAAACCCTCAAGCATCATTCATCTGTACAAAGTGTATCCCTTCAACGTGCAACTGTCAACATCAGGGATGATATACTGATATACATTTTGTCACGTTATAGTGAATGATTCTGTGTGCTCTTCAGACTGAAGATGCGGTTATGGATGAGTTCGTTTCATGTTTTTGTTGATAATTCGGTGATTGATCGGGTAGTTTCTTCTGAAAATTATGAGTTTATGGGAAAATGTCAGTTGATCGCGTTATTGGATATTTTATAATCTATCTCGACGGTTCCCACATTTTTTTCACCGCACCAATCATTTAATTCTTTAATATCAACCATTTTTCAACAACCGATTTTCATAAATGTTGTGTTATCCTCGAGGAAAAAATGAGAAATCAACCGACGGCGGATGGAAAAATTTAATTTTGAAAAAAGTCGCTTTTTCCTTACACAAGACCATTGGAAATGAAGTGAAAAAAAAAACAAGATTTTACCATTTCTTCTCTAGGTTTTATTATCCCCTACGAACCGAATAAATGTTGAATCAACCGTCGGCGAAATTGAATGAAAAAGTGAATTTTCCAATTTCAATTCCGTTCTTCATCTTTCCCCAGACTCCTTTGAATTACAATAGTTCCACGAAACGTGATGAACCGATCCAATTAAAAACTTATAAAACTCCAACAAATTCATTGTAATCGAAATAAAAGATTTTGACTGAAATTTCGTACTCGGAAAAACCTTCAATCACGTCATTAACACCTTTTGCTCAATCTTGTGTACAATTCCGTGAACGTTATCCTCTGGTATATTATCCTCATAATGCAACACTATTTCTACATCTTTATTTTTTCACACAACGTCCCTTTATCACGAATCCCAGAGGCGTCACATCGAGAGTACGAACGTATCCCTGGTGTTATCGATCTGGAAATCCCAGTCCAGATTAAACTCGGCAGGGAGTTTGTGTCCACACGAGAGTAGAAGCAGAGATGGGATGGGTTGTCGGTGGGTGGTTGGTCGGCCAGAGAGGGAAAGGTGGGGAAGAAGTTTTACCGAATCCCCCAGCGGTTTTAACATCGTGATCCTCGTGTGTCCATCAATAGCTACAGTGTTTTCATGTTATATCACCCAACACTAAGATTTTACAAACAAGAAAATAGCGAATCCATTCTCCTCTTTTTTCCCTTTGGTCTTTAACTTTTTACACCGGAAATTGTTTTCCATTTTTATCTCTACGATAATCAGAGGGCGGTGAGGGGGGGGGGGGCAGATGAAAAAAAAAACAATAATTCAATCTTCCACGTTTCCTAGTAATATATTAATTTTAATTATTATAAATTATTCGATGAGCGTTTCAAATCAATTGAAAATTAATGCAATTAAACCGGAAAACCAGCGGAATTAATAAAAAAAAAATTCATATTATTTCCTCCATTCATCTACTGAACGTCAAAAAAAGGAAGAAAAGGGAAATTTTTCTTAAAAAAAATGTGGGATTTCACCGACATCCAAAAAAAAAAGATAAAAAATCCTCCCTTTGTTGTAGCCGAGTGGAGGGGTAATTAGCGAAGCGTGTGCATCTCGGGTTTAACGAGGTGTGCGTATCCGTTGTTGGGGTCATCCCCAGTTGATACATATTAAAAGAGTGAATAATATTTTTTATTCCAGGGTTTTTTTTTCCAACTCCCCATGGGTGATGGTCCTTATGTGGTGCCATTGGTAACCACTGTGGAGAGCTTTTTCATGGCACGAGAGAGTCGTTACGAGGCCATATATGACGACCATAGCACCATGGGGGCTTATGGATATTCCCTTCCATGTTGTATCCTCTGTGGTAGTCTAGGTACCACTGAAAACACCTGCCCTCACACTTGGGACAACAGCTCCTGTGACGTACATCTTGCCGAGGTTAATCCCCCCATTGTGGTGCCTTTCAGGTCACATTTATGGTTTACAAGATTAATTTTTATCTCTAATGCCAAAAACTCAATTGTTTACACGAAAGAAAAGTTGGCGAATATTACTGGCACTTGGGGTAATACATCTATAAAAAATTGAAGTGTCAAATAATGTGTCACTTGTGAGGCCCATGAAAGTGCCTTTTTTAGCGATAAATATATTTTTTTATCGCTAATGGCAAATTTTCTCGTGAATTTAATGCCCGAGTCGAAGTCGACAAGTGACGAATAATATTTGAATTTTATAAACCGGATTTCCGGCCATTTTCAATTCTCGAATGCATTCAGTAATTTCTGAAAATTTCGATCAATCTCATTACACACATTGATTTCAATTAGAATTACCCTCTGCCCTGATTTAATATTTTTTCATCCCACCATTGAATTGTTGAGAATGAATATGCACTCGGGGCCATTCTTTTCACCTCTTCAGGAGAGGAAAACTATGAAATATGATCTCGGTAAATGCCATCCAAACAATGCGAGAAATAAAAAAAAATATACCCCACCCCAGCTCACAATTCTTCGGGCATTACCATCCAGCACGTTCTCGCATTTTCACGCAATAAATCTTCGAGTGAAGTTCCACCCATACCACCCCTCAACCACCCCCTTTTCACCCACTATCGGAGCACTATGGGGTAATGCTCAAGGGAGTCAACTTTCTTCAGGCACGGAAAAAATGCACTCGACTCGAAAATCGACGAGTTTACTTTTATTCGGATGTACGCAAACTCCTGTTGGGAATAAAACAGAATGAGGGAGGGAGTTACGGAGCTCAGGACGGATTCATGAGTTTCGGGGGAAGTGAACTTTATGTGATGAGAGGGTATACTTCGAAGAAACTATTTTTTGAATGAATTTGTGGGTTTAGGTGGAACTCCATCCGCGAATCCATTGGTATTTTTGTCTCTGAGTGATTTTATTTATTTTATGGTGAAATTCACTCAGACTGAGTCAAGTAGATATCGACTTGATTCTACTCGATCATCGACTCAATCAAGACAGTGCATCGATTGGCATCAATCGACTCGGATGAAGGGGAAGAAAAGAATTGTCGGGGGAATTCCGTTAAAATTGCGGGAATTTTTTGATAATGAAAAGTCCGTCGATTTTATGTGATCGTACATGAAGTCCATAAGTTCGTTTGACTTCAAATTTCAAATAGATTCAATAAGACTCTAATTTCAAGAGCAAATTGAAGGAGAATATAATGAAACACTTGAATCAACTGGAATTTGTGTCAATAAATTTCTCTCCCTCTTCCGCTTTATATTCTTGACGCTCGTGTGGATAAAGTACGAAGAGGGATGAGGAGGTGGGTGGGCTAGGGGGTGGGAAAAGAGAGGGGATAAATATTTGAACAGATAACTCGAGAGATATTTCCATATTAAATATCATTTTATCGAGAATTATGCTGAGTGCATTGGAGTCGGTGAAATCGTTGGAAAATGTGAAATTGGAGAGAATTTTTGAAACTGAATTGTTAGAATTTGTTGAAATGTTGATTCTAGAGAGTCGACGAATGCCCATGGAATTAGGCGATGAATTTGTTAGAGGGAGGGAGGAGGGGGTGATTTTATGAAGTGAAGGGTGGGAGGGATTAAGTCATAGAATTTTTAACGGGGAATTGTTGGTATATTCAGGAAAATCAGAACAGAGGGAATTTTTCTGGGTGAGGACCTCTGGATTTGAGAAACGAAGTCGCGCGATTTCTCTGTTATTTATTTGAAAAATTGTCTAATGACTGAAATAATCACTCATTTTTCAACAAATTTTGTGGAGATCAATCGATTTTATAATTCGATGGATTTATTCATTTATCGATGGATGCTGAGAGATGTGGAGCGTAAATAATTAATTCCGTTGAATTAAATAAATGCCCAGGGTGTAATATACTGATGCATCTCAATTATTCAAATGTTTCCGCGAATTCCATTGGATTCAAACGATTTTTTTACATCGAACTCCCATGTTATTTCTGAAATGTCGATTCTATGGACTGAATGGATATTAAATTGCTGGATTTGTTTGAATAAAATGTCGGGGTATTGGCCATTGAATAATTGAATTCGCGAAAATTGCGGGAGAATCGTCAGTTCAGAATGACGGAAATTCGTAATTGAGTGAAAATTTAATTATTCCGATAATTCCACGGATAACAGCTTCGACTATAATTATATTTCCCTTTTCAATCTTTCCAACTATTTAGTTGTAATAATAATTGGTGTGAAATTTTATTTTTATTTTATTCTTTCGATAACTCTGAAAGAAAAATTTTTGTTGGTAATCGCGTATTAAATCATGAATTTTAATTTATTTCAAATAATCATTTGGATTGTTTGCACCGGTAAAATGTCAATAATTTGTTCTACACAGCGTTTGTCAACGGCCACGGCTGAAAGACGCGGAAATTTCTCCGCCATAAGCAGATTAATTACCGATATAAACAGAAATTTACGAGAGTGACAAACAAAGACTATCTGCAGCATCATAATAACGCCATTTACAACGAGCACACGACTCTAATTGACAGATAAACTCCATCCATTAGAGGTAGAGATGGATTTTCGACAAGTTACCCAACTCCATACACCGTGAAAATTACGAGTGGCGGGGGGAATTCTAGTGGTGTGGGATTTCCAGTTCTGTTACAAGTTCGATGTGTATGCGTTAACATCAACTTGAAAACGGTACGATCAGTTCATGTCGACGTGCGGTCGAGTCTACATAACACGTCTTTTCTACAAGAGAATCATATCCTAACCGCGAATATCGTTTGATCATTCTATCGAGAGTTTATCGCGGCTTCTGGTGAATTATGTTGTGATTTGGTTATTAATGGCATCGGTATTAGTGAGTGGTGAACATTTGATTGAGGGAATTAGGTGGGTCTGAGTGGATTGTCCGGATAGTTTCCATTTGTATTGGCTTGTGCTGTTTACTTGCCTTTCTCCCTGGTGGCCGTCACAAGGTATCGCCGATTTAGTACCGCATCTACTGGGCACGACAGGTAATCAAAATCCCACCAGGAGATGCTCTAATTCTTGGTCAGACCACTGCCGTCGATATTTATGAATTATTTTGGAGCCACTGCCTCGGGTTACCATTCCATCAAATTCACTCGAATGATTTTTTTAATACTTTGAAAAAAAAATTCTTATTTATTATTATAATCTCTTAAATAACATTTTATATTATCGGGAGGAATAGGCAGAAAATGGCGGAGGGGTGTGGAAATTTTTATAAACACTTTGAGGAATCTGGGGAATTTTTTTTTTTTGCGGTGTAATTTGGGCGGGCAAGGAGATATGGAAATTCATGGTCAGACAACTTCTTGATGCTTTGAAAAATTTTCTGTCAAGTTTCTCAAGGTTCTTCCTTCATTTTTTTTTTCTCGTTCTTGATTTTTCTGGTTGTGTTTTACTGGAGTTTAATGGCTACAAGTGGAAAATCTCTATCAGCTGAAGGTTTTGATATAATTTATCACCGGCTTTTCCGTAAATTCCATGAGGTTTCAAGGATTTTTTTCCACGAGTTTTTACGATGCGGGGATTTAGCTACAGCGTACATTCTTCTGTTTTTATTTTCCTCCAGTTTTTTTAGGATAATTGCCTTATGAGTGACTCCACCTGAAATATGTCGAGATGAAATGCGGTATAAGCTATGGGTTTATATTTAAAAGAATGGGGATAGGTATCGGTGTTTGAGAAACTAGTTGAAATTGAGTTAGTCGAGGCAAGGCAGCCGATTGTACAGTCTGTAGAATGTTTCAAATGGAGGGAGAGATAAAAAAAAATGGAAAATCACGGAGAAGGGGTTGTAGGCGTGGGTAGGTTATATAGGTTTGTAGTTTGAGCTCACTACCACGGGGGAAATTGTTTCGTGAGTTGTGCTGTTCTGGGCCTCTCTATACTCGCAATATTGCTTTTCTCTCTTGACGAGTCGTTCGACGCTGTGCGACGAGAACACAACCGTCACGCTTCGTTGCTCCCGGTTATTTCAACTACTCTTTTTCTCATTTTCCAATTTTTGTTTTTGTTTTTTTCTTTGTAACCCGGGACATGGCAGAGTTGTTTCATTAAAGAATGAATGGAAATGCGGGCGTGTGTTTGATAAGAAGATGATCAATATCGGTGGGACCTGTTATTTCACCCGCAATACCGATTTCTCCGTGAATAACTCGAATTTTTTTATTTTCATGCTCATGACTATTTTTTTTTGTCATGGAATTTATGGAGAATTTTCGTTGGTATTTGTATTGATGAATCAGTATCTTTGTTTAAACATCAAAGAAATTCTGTTATGCAATGCAAATAATTCACTCACTCGTTTTGTTTATTGTCGTTGATAATATTCAATTCATACACATTTTTTTTTATCTCTGCCGTCATTTATAATGCGAAATAACGGAGTATTTCTGGGATTGTTACAGAAAAAGTCGTTTCCGCTGAGTTTATTGTGCGGTTGTGTCGGCATTACTGTTATTGTCGTAATCAGTCTGCAGATAAGTTTTTCGTTATCGCGTAGGATAATGATCACGAAGCTCTGAAAATGTCTCAAGAAATTCACGGGTTGAAGAGTAGTGGAGAAGAGATAATTATGATGAGAAAAAAAAATATTTGAGTTGATGAGGACGGCCTGGGATTCGTTACTCCTCCCTTTTTAATGCCAAAGTATGAATATTCAATGCGACAATTATTACGGAGTTGATTAACACGGGAAACAGGCGCAAATGAAGGCTTCAAACTGGGGGAAACACAGAGAGTTCTCCAGAGACTTGTCTCTCGGTGGAACTACACTGTTGGAGATTTCTTGAGATTTAAGTAACAGATTCATCAGGATTTTCTGGATCACGAGCTTTAATTCACAGAACTACTTGTTTATCAAATTTATCATTCATCGACAATGGAGTGAATTTCCAATGACGAAAGCATTCGATATAATTGATTCTCTCGATTTTTAACAAATTGAGATAATAATTATAACAATGAAAATTATTCACTGTTATGGATACTTCGAGGTTTTTACCTGAAATTCCAAGTACAATTTTGTACTTCAGTGTATCATCACTCGCTTTTGTCCTGTCTTTTGTTCTCCTCGTCTTGACACAGGGCTTCTCCTGGAGTTGAAATTGAATGGATCTTCCTCAGGGTTTTCTCCCTACGCACTAGTTTCCCTCATTTCTCTGTCACCAGGAAATTCAGTCTCACTTCCACTGGCCAAAAGTTTCAGTGAGACTTGCACAAACGTATACTCGGTGAAACCCAAACACTTTCTTAATTAATAATCCCAGCTCACTCTTAATCATGCTAATGCCAGTGCTGCTATTTTTCAAATTTTTCGGGGAGAAATTCTCGTACTTGTTACTTTATGGGTTCAGTTATTTCGGGGAAGATTTCATGGCTGGAGTTTCTCGGGTTTTGTAATCGCAGATATTTTTGGGATTATCTGCACTAGTTTGGAATTTTATTGACAGTTTCTAAAGAGTTTCCTGGGACGTGACCGGGAAATTGATTTGGGGAGAGACCACTCTTGAATTTTCACGTTTCACTGGAGTATTATACATTTTTTAACATCTGTAATTTACTCGGATGTTTCCATTTCTTTTCATTCTGATGAAAATTAATTGTGATGTACTCCCGATTTTTATCTATTTCTGGGTATTTTTATGCGAGAGTTCAATCGAAATTTATCGTTTCTATTGAAATTTTTTAAAATTTCCTCAGAACTGTCACAATTTTTACGTTTTAGTGGCACTTTCGTGAAAGTTCCCACGGAAACGACGGAGAAATCGATTTAGGGAGCGACGACTCATGAAATTTAACGTTTCACTAAAGATTTTTAAGTATTTCATGATTTTACGTAGTGAATTTCCATTTACCATCGAGTGATATGAATTTACTCTGAAATTAGCCATCGACTCGAAATTCTGTTCTCAAGTTTTCTTGAGTTGACGTCGAAAATTTGTATCTACAACTTTCAGGTGTTATCGAGTAGTGAATTATCACGATAATAATTGCCGATATCACAATATCCAAAGTCCTTTTCTTAAAGACTTTTTATCTCGATGAGAAAATCGACGTGAAGTCTCGAAAATTTTTTTCCAATTCAACACAATATTCGGAATAGTAATTCCTGCAGGTTTCCCTGCTATAAATTTGATTAATTCCTGGCAACTGCTGCAACTTAATTCGAAATATTGTGGGATTTAATTAACTTTGAGATTGCATCGCGTATGAAAGGTCTCATTCATCTTGAAAATTCAATAAAACTCCGTTCTGGGTGCTGAGCAATTAATACGTCAACAAACCTAAACTTTCCAATTATTATTTACAAAAATAATTGATTGGCAATAATTAGTAATAAAATAGCAGTGAGTCATTTCGAGTATTCAACGATTTCGACGGGTATTGAATAAATTTTTCTTCTCAAAGTTGCAGTTTTGTAATGAGATAATGAAGAAAGACGAATTTTTCATGTCCTCATTATGTTCCTCTCTAACCAGACAAATCTCTGTCATTGTTTATTGCCCCCAGACCATAAAAATATGTAGTATTAATTCCTCAGTGTCAGGGGAGCACGGAAATGGTGAACAAAGAATAGGAAAATTTGTTTTTCCAGGGACAAAAGAGATGTCTGTTAATTTTGTATTGTTTGCTTGTATCATGCGCACTCGCCGTCTTTTTTTTCAGTCTCGTGTCATTCACTTTTACATCGCCGACAGTTCACAACAGAGCGAGAAATGGTTGCAAGTGGTACGGGATCATCTCCGGTGCGACTTATCTCTCCGCATTTAAAATGTCGAGACTGGCAATCAACATTTGCCTCTCTCTCTTTTTGTATGAGATTTTTCTCATTTTTTCCTCTCATCATCGCGATTTTTTTTTGGCGCTTGCGGATGCGCACGGAATTTCCGCGGTTTATTATGACCCCGAAAGGTGAAGCAACTAAAACGTAATGTTTGCTCGGATCTCCAATTCTTTTTGCTTCCGAATTCAAGCTTTTTATGCCGTCAAGTTTAACTTTTCAATTTTTTACCTCTGGCTATCTCAATCCCGAATTTATCAACCGTTTACAAGAAAATCCACAAATTTTAATTGGAATTTTTATCATTTTTTAAATGAATATGCAATTTATTATAGACTCTTGAGATTCATATTTTTCTCAAAAAATTATCTTTTAACGTTTTGTATTAATATATAAATATAAAATACTTACAAACGAGGAAAATGACATTTTTTCTGGATTGCCTGTTTGAAATTGAATTTTTCAATCTATTATTCCGGAATTTATGGAAAAGAGGGGGAGGATAATGAAGAAGTCGAGGGTGATTGGGGCCGGGCCTCATTAAAATTGAAATTGGAATTTAATCAGTTTTTCAAATTAATTTTGGAGAGTAACTTGGTAGTGACGTGAAAGGGCGATGAGAGAAAATGAATTTCCAGATATCTTTGTTGTAAAGGATTTTCAAGAAGTTTCAGGGCCTGTATTCTATTGGAATATTTTACAATAATTAAAGAGTACTCCTTAAAATTCACCGATAACCGATCTCTCACTATCAATTCCAAAATAACGAGAGATTACTCGAAAAAGATAATTCCAAGAATCATGTGATATCCACTTTTATAGTTTTTTCCGTATCGATTCATCAGCAAGCTATTAATTTCCGGAGAAAATACCAAGAATTCTTTTTTGTCTAGAATTTAATGAGCTCCAAAAAACGTTTTTTGATGTTTTCACCTCAAGTCGATAGTGCTCGAGATAAATCGATAATTCTAAAAAATGGTAAATTCACTTTATCTCATAATTTTTTTCTCAATTTTCTGCAATCATTATGACAGAAAATTTTTTATTTTCCTCACTCGTTTCGTGACTCTGTCAGGTATGAGGATAATCATATCGAAGGATAAAATCGTGTATATGTGTATTCACCGGTATTTTTCCTTGCACGTCCGCGATAAAGAAAAATGGAAGCAGTCACTGTCAAGGTGACTCATGCCAACACGCATACATTAATTATTATTCTGCGTTATCTGTCAATTACGTGAGGAATCTAATGTCTGCGATGTTCAAACACATCAGACAGCCTAATATTCCAATTATTCCAACACCACAACTCCCAGGCTTCATCTTGTATCGGCATTATTGCAAACGCAGGGAAAAAAATATTTCTCTATAATTTAATGTCTGCAATTCAATTTTTAGTGCACGGGGAAAAATTTGCGTCATGACGACATGGCGATCAAATTTTTCGCTCAATTATTCCATAAAAATATTCTTCCCTCAAAATTTATTAATCCACTCCCTGCCTTCCAGTTTTAAAAATTATTCCCTGATTATTCAAAAACCAAATTAATTATTGACGAACACCTTGACATAATAATGAATAAAAAAGCATTAAAAATTGGTAATAAAAATAAAGGCGTTGGGTATTTAATCTGAAAGTTCTGAGAATAATAGCGGAACCGGGTAGAATAGAATCGCATGGAAATGATAAAACGAGCGTTAAACCGTCGATTAAATTTCGGAATGATGAATTAATAAATTTAATGGGGAAATCAAGATTTGTCCGGTTATTGGATGCGGCCATAATAACTGGCGAATAGTCGATTCCCAGTGGAGTCCATTCACCGGGTTAAAAATCAAACAGAACATAAACTCGTGTTGAAAGGCGCATTACATAATCGTTAATTTCTGGATAACAAACCCAGTGAATTCAAAACGCCATATGCACTCAACGTACTGACCATTACGGTTAGTTAGAGCTAACATGGGGTTTTGAGGCCCCAGGATGTTGGCCCTCACGAGAGCAATGGAGTTTTGAAATTGACTGCCAAGTGCGCCCACCAAAGTGAAATACTGATGGGTATAACAAAATTGGAAAATTAAATTTTCAACTGTAATTCCACCTCCCACCACCCACTGGCCAAAAGTTGTCCAGAACTGATGCTCTCATTTCCGAAATTTCAGATTAACTCAACCGGTGCTGGAGACCCACTGATAATTTCATTTGTCACTCGTCTCACTTTTCTTCTGACCCTTCGATTTTTTCGTAAAGGGTGGCGAGAGGTCACAGCTGACGTCACCCGGGGGTTTATCACCGCTGCTGAATAGCTCCGGCACAATGGACATTAGAAAGAACTTCAAGGTAAGGATTTATTTTTATTAATTGTCGCTATCAAATTAAAAAAGACCGGTATTCCCCGAATTTTCAATGACAATTTTCAATCACAATATCACATGAAATTGAAAAAATTTTTTTTCGCAAAAATTGATGGAGATTTTCAAACCGTTAAGTAAATTTGATAGAATATTTCTTCCTGGATATCGTTTATCCGAGAAATGGCAGAAACATCGGTGAAATAAATTTTTCCACGATTTTCCTCCGAGTAAAAAACTGCCTTCACCTGAGTATCCGCGAATCGATATCACGGCCTCATCTCAGGGTTTTATTGTTGTTTACCTCGCGCCCAGGATTTTCCCCGATGATCAACTTTTATCCTTGGCAAATGAAGCTTCCGGATTGTTTAATTTGTTATTACGAAAACTCATTCTCGAGAATTCCTCCGAAACAATGTTTTATGAGAACTTTTTTTACCTTATCGTGATGAATTCGCTGGAACGAAGGAAGTTAAGTCTATTGGATTATCTTCTTTCAAAACGCTTTTCTTCCTTTTATGGTGAAATGGGAGTGCAAATAGAGGGATTGGGGACAAGGGGAAAAATTTCCGCTGGAAAACACTGGTATTAAACCCTTGTCACTGTGGAGAAAGGGAAAAGTATTATTGAGAATGGAAACCTCTTTTTGAAATATCTCGGAGGGAGAATCGAGAGTTCTTTGGAAACGTCACATTTTCTGGCTATCTGATGGAATGAGTTTAGATCTTCCACTTCATCACATTCACCACTTGGAATAATATTTTCCTACTTTCACTCAATTCAAATTGCCAGAATGGGTAAAATGGACCCTTGAGTTCTTGAAAATATTGATGATTCAGGAAAAAAGAGAAGAAGAAATGGAAAAAACTTAACAGAAGTTGGGGATCCCGTGGAATCATATCCGGAAAGAAATTCTTTAGAAAACTTATCCTGTTTTATAGCACAGAAAAGGGGAGACAATGCAGGAGTTAGGGGAAAATTCTCGGGCAGGCACTGAAAATTTTATTGGGTAATACACGAATTTTTCTCGTAAATAGCCAGAAATTTTATCAGATGAGATTTTTTAGTACTTGCGCTGGGAATTTTCTGTGGAATTTCTCTCCTTGTTGCAAAAATCATGAGAATATTCTGCAAATTCCATACACACTCTCTCAATACCAATAATTTTTATCGAAAAATTTTCCATATGCTTGTCTCCATAATTTCTCAAAATAACCACAAAACCCATAAATTATTATAAAAAAAATATCGAAGAAGTACCCAATATGATGGATAAAAGAGATAACAAGCGTTTGTGTAAATATGTGATGTGGGCTAATCCCAGGACATAGGATGGCCGATTCACGCGGCTTCAAGTCAATAGATCCGCTTTGGAGTGGAGGTCCCCCCCTGGATCCCGAGTACGAGGAGGTGACGGGTGCAGCGGGTTCCCTAGATCGTAAAAATCCAATAACGGAGTCCCTGGAGCGATCACGAAAGAAGCGCAAAGTCCTTCAGGAGGAGGCAGGATTGCGCCCAGCAAGTGTACGCAGTCGTGAAGATCTACGATCACGAAGAAATACGGAGGAGAAGTTAACGGGAACAAGTGATCACAATCCCCGTGAGCCCTTTGGCTTCAGAGTGGAGGAGCAATATGCGGTGCGTGGATTTTACGGTGACAATGTCCAAGGTGGCCCATACGAGGCATCAGCTTTCAAGCTGACGAGGGGACACAGCACTGGAAGATATCCCCAGTCAACAGCTGAGCATCATCATCATTACTACTATCCTGGCAGTGTGAGACAACTTGGTGCAAGACCAGCTCCACGTCATTATTATTATCCACGTGGTGTATTCAGTAATGAGACGCAGGAAGAAATACAGGAGGACGATGAAGCTACTCTCAGGGAGTTGCTCATAAGGTATGTCAGGCAATCATCATCATCCGTGATGCCTAGCTAAACATGACAATTAGAAAATAAGAGAGTCTAGTACGAGTTACTCTTCCCTTTTATTTATCATTTTGTCATTGTGCTCTTTGTGGTCCTGAAATCTCCCACTTTCTTGGCAACCACTGGAGTTTTGTAGACGCGTTTCAACACTTTTACTCTTTTCGTTGAAAAACACATCTGTACATTTATTTTTCGTCTTATGATGAATTTTTTATCGATTCCGTGGAAAGTGGAGAGTTGGGGGGAATTGATGCTGTACCTTTCAATATCGGAAAACCCTTGTCCCCTCGGATTTTCCTCGGAAATTCTTTGATGTGACAACCACTTGTTATCGAGCCAAACAAAATTGTATTATTTGCCACTTCGCAACTAATGATCCGAGGAATTTTCCATCTGCGATTACCAATTTGTAGTCAATCCTGTACGGCAACAGCAGGTTTTAAAAAATCAGCGGAAATTCCCCTCGACAATTTTTATTCACATTGTAATATTCATAATACCTAGGTCGCGATAAATCTTTTGATCTAACTTTTTTGAAACGAAAACATTTCTATCCTGTTTATAGACGAACGTTTAACCGAGAGTACCGTCAACGCAAACGCTTATCTCCAGGCAATATTATCATTTATACATGAAAAATCAACACAGCAATTACATAATTGTACATAATAAACCAAACGTCTAATAATCACGATTAGAGATGTGTGGAAATGATGCGCGATAACTGTCATATGACGGTAATAAAATTCATGAAAAAAAAAAAGAACTATTTCCACATCTCTAATCGCAATATCAATGTTTTCAGGATATAGCTCTTTAAATCATTATTACCTCGAGTCCAACGACGATTATTTTTGGTGTTATTGTTTAAACTTTTCTCAAGAATATTTTTCAGTTTGATTTTAACGTTTTCTCGCTGCGCGACGCTCGCAGGCTTACCACTGGTTGCTCATTCACATTGTTCATATGTCCCTCATGGTCGGTTGCATGAATAAATTATTATCAATAAAATTGATAAATCGCTCGATCGCTGAACAATTTTCTGTGGATCACCGCGAGAATCAAGAATAAATGCACGATTAAATAAATCACACTGTCATGAAACAAAAAGTTCTGCACGGTTTAAATAAAAAGAACTTTTCGCTTGTACCGAGGGTTTTTCGAATAATCCCGTAATTATTTCAAGTGTAAACCATTATTCATTATTATTATTAATAACTTACGGGAGTAATAATGACACTCGCCGAGAGTAATAACAATATTTCACGGTGATAAATAATAATTTTCACGAGGAGAGGAAATAAGTAGTGGCTAGTACTTGTCCCAAGTTGCCTCGAGTAACAATTGGTATTGACGAAAAGTACTTTTTAATTTCAGCTTTTGATTAAGATAATGATGATTCATGCATCGTCCGCCAATCACTCATGAGGTCACGCTGATTTTTATTAATTATTTTTGGCAATGAAAAATTATCTAATCATCTTCATGTGCGTTGAATGATGGGGCCCATTCTAATTACAAGCTCGCTCGTGGACGCGGGCATCTAGGCAGGGGTGAGTAAGCTGGCGGCGCGTCGCAACTCAAATTAACAAAATAATCAAAAGAAGATAAAAATAAATAAATAATTGAACTAATTGGCGATAACGACACAAGTGCAGGCACAATATTCCCTATCACCAAGAATGTATTCCTATAATAACTCTCAATGAATAATTGCTTAATCTCGAGTGTTAAAAATTATGAATAAATAAATAGATGAATGATAACGGTAAATTTTGAGGATTTTTTAATGAACAAATAAAGGTAAAAAATAGGAATAAATTGTTGGAGGTGAGATTTTGAAAGGTCAGAGTGAGAAAAAAAAAATTGTGTCCACATTTGTATTGTTAATTGCGAGCGATCGACGCCATCAAGCATCTTACTGAACCACGACTGTGTTTCCTAAACTAGGTAAAGCTATCAGAGTGGTAAAAAGTGGTGGTCGCGGTTGGGATTCTTCTGCTTCTGTGTGTTGGACCCACTCGGCCGAGACTGATCGAGATATTGTGTGCAAATACATGGGGTTGTTGTGTATCGGATTAACGTCGTGTGAGTTAACATGCGTCGGAGATCGTATAAATGTACAATCGAAAGACGTTGATAAACCAAATAAGTCTTGAGAAATACGAACGATAAAATACTTACAATTAAGTAAAATCTAGTGAATTCTGGAGGAGGAAGTGAGAGGGATTTGAGGGGGAGGCGTAGAAGGGCTACTGTAGTTTCGGAACACAGCCATGGTCTCCCTATCTCCCAGGTACATAACGACATCGTTCACTGATTATTATTACCTAACATAATGATATTTTTCATATTTTTTTTTTCTCGTCATTCTGCAACATTTTAATCATTCAAGTGGAATTTCATATCAATCAGTCCATTGTCTCACCATTTAATCCCACCCCATCATCACCCCTTTATTATGATTTGTGAGAGACGTTGTGTCGGAAAAGTATATCGTGTGCCCACCCCTCCCGTCTGCTTTTTTTTTTCGCTCTCTCTCTCACGTTTTTTTTTTTTTTTCAAAATAATCTTTTTCAATCACTCGCTTATTTGGAGAAATGAATTCCCCCCGGAGTCTAGTATTTTTATTCTCAACTTTCATAACGACTCAGTACTCTTCAATAATTCCTGAGAGCCAAAAGTTTCACCTCACGCCTCGCTGTGCACCACCGATAATCGAGAATTGCTCCAGAGATATCGTTATTCACTGTTCACTTCTTCTCTTCACTGGTTCTTCTTTTTCGTATCAGGGATATCATTTTTATTGGTTTTCTCTTTTTTATTATTATTATCGAGCACTTGCATCGTGCCTTCACTGCCGGATCATTCGCGATTGAATACGATTTTAATAGGGGAAATATTTTGTTGGAAGAGGAAGATATTTTTTAACGAGTTGAATATATATTTTTTTTTGAGAAGTGAGGAGACTCGAGGGGTAATCATTATTTTCCTGGTGAAGAAGTTGGTCAATTGACTTCATCAAACCACCGAGTGATTTCCAACTATTCTTTACACAGAGAAAAAGAGTTTTCAGATGTTACTAAAAAAGATAAATGATCTAGAATCAAGAAACCGATTTTCTCAAATGCAGAAACTCCATTTTCTTGAATCTAGAAACTTCTCGTCTGACGCCAAGAAGTTTTTCCTCAGTCGACATCAGTCGACCTGACTTCACATTTCAGCCTCGAGTCTCCACCGAGTGCACCGCCTGACCAATCTTTTAATTTACCAACCTGACACAATCACAAAACACAATATTAACCAATAAATACCGCAATTATTTACCCATAAACACGCTTTATTAGTTTGGCATTTGTAATTGTCTGTGTTTTTGTCTGATGAATGAAATTAAAAAAAAAAATAAAAATAAGGAAAAAAATAATAATTCAGCAGCTGCCGAGCTGAGTGCACTCTCGGAGATTGAAAAAAAAAAATGAATACTGGGGTAAAAAAGTGAATGAAAAAATCCGCCTAAAACGATTCAGAGTGTGAAAGAGCTTGAAAGCTCGGCAGCGTGTAAAAAAAAAAGAAAGAATTTAGACGTCTAAATAGAGACTGGCTTTGTTAGCTGGTCTTAGTCTTAGCGTCGATGTGTTGTTGAAAAAAAAAAAATGCTGAATAATAATGCTCTCTGTATACGTGATGTGTCCGATGTGTGTTTGGACGTGGAGAGTTTTGAGGGTGGTGTAACAGAACCGGGAAAAGAGGAAAATTCATTGGGGCTAATGTGTGTGTCGCAGTCTGCAGAAACAGGTCAGCGTGATGAGTATGAACTTGAGTGCCAAGCTGGATGAGCTGCAGCGGGGTGACCGCCAGCTAGAAACTACTGTAGCTCTGTGTGAGATTCGTACGCAACTTCAGGAGCTCACTAAAAGTGTTGAGTCTTGTCAGAGCGAGGTCAGCGAGGTCAAACGTGATATGGTGGCGATTAAGGTATCATTTTACGAGCTGACCTCTTCAATTTGTACATTTTTTTTTACCAAATCCACCAAATCCATCAATTCCACCAATTCCACCAATTCCACCAATTCCACCGATTCCACCGATTCCACCGATTCCACCGATTCCACCAATTCCACCGATTCCATAAATTCCACATTTCAGAATAAAGATTTCTCGCTTCCAGGGAGAATCGATCTACTGTTAATTCTGTAGGTCAATGGTTGTA